CGTTTTAATTAATATTTCAAAGCCAGGGGTGGGCACCTCAAAACTCATAGATTGTACATATTTCATCTCCAGTTTTTTCTCTATCATATTCAATTTTATTTTGTTGCTATTTTTATTTTAAATAAAGTTGCGTGTTAAAATAAGTGGACATCCTTTTTGTGTCACCCTGTAATGTCAGTCGACTAAGCTCGATGAGTTATTACAAATAAATGTTATTTGTATAATCAAATTTTAGACCCAAAAATGTGTTACATTTCTAATCAGAGTGGTGCCATATGACTGTAACTAGCAAACCGCTATCTCGATAGAAAAATACAATAACAATTTTCAATAATAGCATGACTAAATAACATGTAGCAGCAGGCTAGGACACTGATTCTCTTTTTATTCATGATAGGTCTCTTCGGAGCTTTCGTGGGAGAGTGGCTGTCCTCACAGAAGCAGAGACTATACCTATCACGGATCAAATTGAGAAGCATTGTCCTAGTCTGGTAGATGGAGCAGAATCAAATTAATTAATTAATAAAATTAATTAATTATCACTTCACTTAGACAAAGCTAAATAATAGACGTGGGTCTTTCTAAAACAAATACCTAGTTAATTAAAAAGGGGGAAAATATTCGTGTCAAATTTGCAAAAATAAAAATACCAACATTCAGGAGCATCATAGTTAATAACATGTGTAATATCTTTAATATCCACACCCCTTCCTAAAATATCCGTAGCAATTAAAAGTCGTATATCTCCGTTTATAAATTTCGCCATAGTTTCCTTTCTTGTTGCTGGACCTCCAACACTATTATGAAATGCTAAACAATCGTGGTACCCTTCATTGGCCAAATTAGATTGAAGCTAAAATTATTTTGATATAGTTAAACAGTTTTTTATTTATCTAGTTTATATTTAGAAAATGGATATTTGAAATTCTAGTATAGCCTTGGTTTATGGATTATAATCATGAAAATGTTGTTACATAAAAAATGCATGTTCAAAAATTTTTAAAGTATTGTTTTTTGTTTTCTAATATGGCCAATTTGTCAAATATTAAATTAAAAAAATATATAAATTCAAAAATTTTAACAAAAAATTTCCAACTTAGGTATATATCCATTTTTGGCAAAAATTAGATATAATTTCATACTTAATGACGAGTAAATAAGGATATTAAAAAATTTACTGCATCACAAGTTGTTCTTTTGTTTGCAAAAACAACAATTTTGGAATTATTTGTGATGTTATTGCTAAGAACGTGCTTAAGCCAGTTATATTTTTCTGTTTCTTTAACCCAGTAGATTTGGTGGTCGATTTTTGGTGGGTTGGTGACAGTCAATTTAACCTTTAAAATTATGAATATTTAATTTTGTATAAAATTTGAGGAATTGCCAAATTAATATTATGGCAAAGTTAAGAGGTACAGTAATACGAAAATATATAATTTTGTATTTCTAAATTAAAACTAAATTTCAAAAAATTCTAAATAAAGAATTTAGATTGAGGCGCGTATTAAAAATTTGTTCTAGATGATATAAGTAATAAATTACTGATTTCAAGACTAGGGACGGTTTGACCTCAGGGTATACAAAGTACTTGTCTTTTTTTTAATTCTACTTTTCAAAACAAATACTTTGACGTTTAATTATTTTAATAAATTGCTTTAAGAGACTTTCGAACGATTTGAGCGCTCCGTCAAATGAATCATTATTGTCTACTAAATTTATTAATATAAATGGTCACTCTTAAGCCATTGGAATTTAGCCTCTCATTAAGTTTTACAAATGAAATATTTGTTAATAAATTTTAAAAGATTACAAACTATAAATTTAAACAGTATAAACCATAACAGACTTTAGCAACTATAATATTTTCATAATATTTAAATACATACATGATCTTGTCTAAGAAATTGTTCGACCAATCCGACAACGTTATCATCGTACGTTGCCGAAAACATTGCTAGAAATTTATTTTGTACTTAAAAAGGTTTTAAAGATAAACCGGTTGTTCTGTGTTCTTTTGCCGGAAGTTTGTTAATTATTTCTTCTGTCTGATCAGCAAAGTTTTTATCTTAAAATTTTAAATATTCGATAGAATAGTAAGATTGGCACCGTATTCTAATCAGAATGAAAACTAAGTTTGTAATGCTAACTAATGATTTTTAATTAGAGTTGGACGATATCGATATTTTAGGAGAAAACCAATATCGATATTGGTCGATATTGACATGGTCGAGATCGATATCGATATGCAAGTTTTGAGTCGATATCGAGATCGATATTCGATATTAACCAATATTTAAAAAAAAAATTTTTATTACCCCTCAAATCCAGAAAATTCGTTGAAATAATAATACTAACCTTAATACTAACCTAAAGAGAACAGAGAAAAATGTTTAACAAAAAATGCCGGAACTTCTGGTCTACCGGAATAGGAACTACCGGCGCAACACTCCAAAAATCTTCTTTTTTAGCGCCGCAGGCGAAAATTTTGAAATTTTTGGAAGATCCTTAAGCCAAAAATCTCTAATCTTCCCAAATCCCATGTATCATTTGTTACACCTAAATAGTTTATTTCGGATTTTTATCTCCCGTGACGATCCTAGAGGATGATAAATCCTACTTACAGCGACGATCCTACTTACAGCGGTGCAAGCGTATTTTTGATAATTTCGTAAAGCCAAGAAGCTTGATATCCCCCTTTAAAAGATCCGCCATATTTCCAGATCTAGGGGTTAGGAAAAGTTAAGGCAATTCCAAAAGTTAAAGCTTTTTCTTTCTTTTACAGCGCCGCAGGCGAAAATTTTTATAATTTTGGAAGGGCAAGTGGCCAGATTTCTTCCATTTCTTAGAAAAAAGCAATCTTTAGGGGTGTAAAGTTAATATCGATATCGGTCGAATTTGGGTCGATATATCGGTATCGATTTCGAGATCGATATCTATAAAACCGATATCGATATTGGAAAAAGACCGATATTCGAGACCGATATATCGATATCGATCTCGACTTGTCCAACTCTATTTTTAATTTACTCTTGTTTTTATCATTTTTGTTGCCTATTTTGGTTTTAATGTCACCTTGAATTGTCACCCATTTTATAGCTTTACAACCTAAAAATCTGATCCCTATTAATCACTAACCAACTAATCTATCAGATTCATCTAATACCAAAAACGCGGTTTCAGACAAATTAATATTTAGCATCATATGTATAAGTCGCAAAGGTGTAGCAACAAGTATATCACATCCATGCTTAAATTAGAAACAAAGAAAATTTAATGTATTATCAAGTATTCTACTTAGATTAAGATATAAATAAATTAATAATACACTGATTATTAGGGAGCGGATTTTTATTGAAATAAAATCTCAAAATATGGCCATAAAATATTGAAATAAATTGGCAAAATATTGACAAAAATGTCAAAAATAAGCGAAATATTGAAATAAATTATTGTTATCTTAGTGGCTAAACTTAAAAAAAAAGTAGAAATTTAATAAAAAAAAAACTGTTTTTGTGCTTGAAAACTTTTGTGCTTGAAAAAATAGTGATTTCAAGACTGAAAATATGGAAAAAAGAATGTTAGAGATATTGGGATGGGTTAATTACGGAATGGACATTTTGGGGTATTTTATTCTTTCGTTACTCGATTTACTCGTACTCTAACGTGGCCTAAAATGTTGAACTCGTACTAGAACACGGATTTTTCAAACTCAGCATTACTCGATCTAGGTTTTTCCCAATTACTCGGTACACGACGTACTCTAGGTGTAAGTACAAAAAGTGTAAGTACAATCTCCCAGTAAGAATTACCCCATTTAATAAGCCAGAATTCTCCATTTTCAGCGCCACAGGCTAAAATTTTGAGAATTTTGAAAGTTAAACTGCCAGATTTCTTCAATTTTTTCCTAAAATTAATCAAGAATCCCAAAATTTTGGTAAAAATATGCAAAAATATTGAAATGATTTGCAAAAAGTAAAAAAATTTGAAATAACGGGAAAATTGGCAAAATATTGAAATATATTGAAATACAACTTTGTTCAGAATCACACTATCGAGAAACTAATGGCATATTTGGGCTCCTCTCGACAAAGCGTGTTTGCAAAAAAAAGATATATTTCAATAAAAATCCGCTCCCTACTGATTATAAATTGAATTTTATATACTCCGCCGGAGCCTGCTCCCGGAGCCATACCCAGCACTGGTTTAAGCTTTCTAATTTTATTATAATATTGTAAATTTATTTTGAAATACCTATATCAAAAGTGGCAAAATATAAAAATTTTTTAAATGAGGCAAGAGATGACCAAAAAAGAGAATTTTGTCTACTGCTCTCCAAAATTCTCGCCTGCGGCGCTAATTGTCCACTCCCCAAATGCCCTGGCATGGTCTTAAGCATATTCTCATGAAAAATTAAACAAACCTTAAGGTTAGCAAGTTGTGTTTCAAAATTATTTTGACCCCCGTGGACAAGAGCTGGCACAAGAGGTGTACGGTATGTTAATTTCAAAACTTCTCTGTATGTTTGGTCTGCGAGTTCTCTTGTTGGCAAAAGTATCAGAGCTTTTGGGTAAAAAGCCTTGTCAGCTTTACTCTAAAAATATTTTAAATTTTAATTTTCTTAGATAGTTAACAACTTTTTTGCCCTTTCCTTTATTCCCAGCTTTCAACATTCTGTCTATCAAAGGAATGAGAAATGCAGCCGTTCTATAAAAATATTTTTTATTAAAAATTTATTCAACTAATATTTGTTGATTTATTAAAAAAATAATAACTCTAAAGAATCACACAAAATGTGTATTTTTTAAATTTAATACGAAATGAAAGAAAAAACGTTTAAAAATTAAAGAATTAATGTGTTTGAGAATATCCGGAACCGAAAAAGACCGGATAACAGAAAATTTTCGGTTCGGTTATCGGTTCCGGTTCAGGATAACAGAAGATTTCCAAGGAACCGACAACCTTATTTATGAACGTTTTGTATTATTGTGGTCTTACCATAGAGGCATTCGGTATTCATGGATAAATAGTAGAAAATAATTTTGAGAGTCTTCTAAAAGGGGACCAATAAATATGTCGAAAAAAATATTACTTTTGCTTAAATATATAGTTAAGCTTATGGTTAAAAATAAAATATGCCAACTTTCCTGAGCCTGTATTAGCCACAGTTATTAAATCATTCTCTTCGGATTCTGTCAATATACGAATAGTATATTTCTAATTAGAATAAAAATTTAGACAAATTAGAATAAAATAACCTGAACAGGTGTAGGCATTTTAAAATTGCAGAAATAGTAAATATTCTCCAGCAACCAAGGATGTAAATTCAGATCGTGATCATTAAACTAAATATTTCAAAGTCGGGTTTTTTTAATATAATTAACTTTAAAAATTTCGACGGAAAGGGATCCCAAAGAATCAAACACGGAAATGGAAATAACCATGTTTAGGGGTTAAAAAATTAGGGATTGTTCGTTTCTCTTGAAACTCTAATAAACCCAAAACCCCAATAAACTTAAGAAACTCGAAAAACTTGCATTTTCAATCGGAACAACATTTATTTCCGTTACACCTTTATGTTCATCAGAATAACGCTCAATTTCAACGGGAATTAATTCAGACATTTTAAAATAGTCTTCATTGATTGTTAAGTTTTCGGTTTTGTATATTTCTTTTTCGAAATCTTCATTTCTATTTCCTTGGTTTTGCCAAGTTCCTTTGCTTATCAAAAATTTCTTCTGAAGGCTTTCATTCTTGGAGGACTATAAATCGTTATTAAATCATTATTACGAAAATTATAAATAATTATTAGCGATCGAACCCATTACAAATATATAGTGTTTATTGGATAGGAGCTGATTAAAACATTCGGATCAAATAATTCTGGATATCAGGAAATTTTCGATTTGATCTCGGATCGGATATCCGTGTCATGAAAAACCCTTCGTAAAATGGATGACGTGAAAATCACTAAATGTTTGAAATCGAAAGTCGTGAAAAAAGCTATGTAGCAGGTGTGTGCGAGTTTCGCGTTTAGCCTTTCGCGGATTTTCGCATTTTTTGGACTTTTGCGTTTCGCGTTTCACTTTTTAAATTTAATTTCGCCTTTCGCTTTTTAAAATCCGTTTCGGCATACCCCTGCTATGTAGTATATTAGCTTGAAATATCAGTACAGTTTTGTTGCGTGAATGTAAAATATCTTGTTATTTTAAAATAAAATTACCGAAAATTCTTTAAATTTGCATAAGGATTTGAACGCAATATTTAATGCATATATTTTATATAATTCATTAAATCCATTTTTAAATTTATCTTCGCTATTTTTAATCGACTTTTCCAGCTCAAGTCCCATACTTATATCTTTTTTAGCAATACAATCCAATTTTTTATAATATACAAGTAAATTTAAATTATTAAAAATATTTATATCACTAACATAATATTCAGAATTTAAATATGCGTTGATATCTTCTTAAAATAAAAAATATTTTTTTTATTTTTTCGATAAGCTTTCTTAAGAATTTGAAAAGAATTTTAATAGGAATTTAAAAATAATGCTCTTAAAATATCGTCAATGCACATTAGATTAAAAAAATACTGTTCATCTCGCATATTAGACAATTAAAAAAATTAATTTTCTCGTTATAGGAGGTTGATTAAATGGGTTGAACTCCGTCCCTTAAGTCTGGGAATTTTGAGAGCGAAATAATTAAATGCTATGTTCGAACCCTAAAATCAGCAAATATTGTTTTTTTCACAGCGTTAGGGAGGGGTGTTTTTTTCACATGAAAAATATATTATTATAACTTATTTTAATAAAAAATTAGATTTTTTAAAGGATGCATTCTTTAAAGGAAAATTCTCAAAATTTTTGCCGGGAGCGTAAGAGACACCCCTCCCTAACGCTGAGATGCGACAGAAAGACCTGGGCTAACAGAAGGTTCGTGAACATTGTAAAAATGATTCACCTAGAGCATTTAAAGCGTTTAGACGATGGTTAAACGATCTAAAAAAAGAGAAAGCATTAGTCGATGCCCCGCTATCTCAGTGGTGTAGCTCCTGTATGTGGTGAGCGAAAGAGCCTAGCAATAGCCACGAGGAAGTCGCAATCCTGCCCAGTGGCTAAACTTTCGCAAATCTCTTTCTATTATAAACAATAACTAGAGCGGGACTACGCGTTGAACAGAATGTTTATTTTATGTCCCTAATTGTTAACAATTTTATTTACCTTCTATTTCTTTTGATTTATTTTTCTTTGTAGATAATAAATTTTTTAAGCTTTTTTTAGTTTTTTCATGTAATTTATGCTTAATTAAAGCTTCTCTATAAATATGTCTTGCTTTAATAAGCTCTGTATAGAAATTGGAAATAAAGTCCTCATTAAAACTATTTTCCAATTCTTTATTTAAATTTAAAAAAGTTTGAACAATTTCCTCTTCATTGGCTTTTTTTATATATTTATCTTCAGCATCGACCTCTTTTTTTACATTTTCAAAGCTTTCAATAATATGATCAAAAAGTGGGCCTGTTTAGGTAGAAAAGAATTTTTATGGCAATAGGAATTTCAGCCCTAAATAACCCTGGCCGAATATACGGTTATTTGTTTCATCTAGGGGATTTTCTGGATTGATACTGGTGAATTAATTCCTAATGTCTAATTTATATTGAAAATATTGCAGGAATTTTTTTTAAATTATAGTTACCGCCCTGATAGAAATCTGAAAATAAATCGGTAATTGTGTTCTTTGGCTATTTTCTATGAACCAATATTATTTAACCAGTGATATTCAAAAAAATTTAAAAGTTTGGAACTAGAACTAGCTTGGAACTAGTTCCAGAACTGGAACTAAGGAATTTTAAAAATGGAGTTCCGGAACTGGAACTGGAACTAAAGAAATTAAAAACCTGGTTCTGGAACTGGAACTACTAAAATTAAAAACCTAGTTCTGTAACTGGAACTATTAGGTCGGGTCATAATTAGTGTCGCTTTTTTAATTTGGATTTTTTGGAGTTTTTAAATTAAGTTTTCAGAAAAATTTTTTTATTTTTATTTCGAATCAGTTGTTAGACTTTGTTCTAAAGGATCTCAGTATTTCAGAATTTTTGGTTAGGTATTCAGGGAGTTCTGATCAAAAATATCAAAATTCACGAAATCACCGGAAATCGAATTTTCTCAGGTATATGTGATGATAATAGTTAGTGTAATATGTCATTCGAAAGCTCTTCAAAAGCTCTATCAGTGGAGCACAATTTCGAATTTTTATTAAAAAAGGTCTAAATTTTCGAAAAAGTCGAAATTCGAGTTCCGGGGTTTGACACGATTTACAGACTTTATATTTCGGATTTAGTATAAGCCCTATATGTTATTTAGAAAACCGTTTAGATCATCCAGATCGGATGATTTTACGCTGAGATATAAGAAAACGTTTTTTGGGGGGATGTCGTGTCGTTTGTTTCATTTTTGAGATGTTAGTACACGCGGCATTTGATTTGCTCTCCTTAAGCGCAGCCCGCGTTTTTTCAGTCACCAGTGGCCGTACGTGCAGAGCAGATATCCCTCGATAATTCAGCAGTAGAAATTACCGGATTCCATCTAAGCCGGCCGAGCAGGACCGTTTTCTTAATGACAGCCTTCTCCCTCGACCATGTTTGCTTATGAGAGTCATACGGCCTTCCTAGTAAAGTATAAATCCTATTCTTTGCTGTCTAGCATAGACAACGATCCCATTGACTAGATCATTAAGATTTTTTGTTTCTCATGTTCCATTTTTGGTAATTTATAATTCATGGTGCAAATGCTTGAGAATTTCACTACGAGGTAGCGAAGTTAAAAAAATCATAACTTTATGAAAATCACAGATATATACCTAAACCTGGTTTTAAAATGAAGAGTAGATTCAGATCTTTATGTTGGTTAGTAATAAAAAATAATATTTGTAAAATAACACCCCTAAAAATTTAACCGAAAAAAAGCGACACTAATTATGACCCGACCTAATAGTTCCAAAGAAATTTTGGAACTTTCCCATCACTGTATTTAACTAAAATTCTTTAAAAATTTACGAATTAATGGTCTATCTCCTCTCGCTCTAATATTCGTTTCCCCTTCCACAATTTGTCCCGTTTCAACATTTAAAGAGGGGTTTGTTGATTGGACTTTCTTCGCTCCCAAAACAATTGCCAACAAAATGGTCAAAGAGTAAAGAGTTTTAAAAACTCTCATTTTTCTGTTAAAAATTAAATTATTTAATAGAATCACAAAAAAATTCATTAAAAAATCTTTCAAAAAATTTTGACAAAAATTGCTAAAGGCCGCAGTCACTCAAAAATTTGTCAAAAAGTGGGATAGAAGATTGGCTTTATAGCTCTTCGATGTCCCTTAAAATCCTGCTTTGAAAGTCGATGGAACATTGACGCCTAAGGAGGGTTTCATTAATAAATTTCGCTAACTTTATTTTATTCGAAAATTTTAATAAAAAATGCTTTTATTTAAAAATGATTTGATGGAGGGGATAGGGGAGGGAGGAGGAGGGGAGAGGAGAGGGAAGAGCTAGGAGGGAAGGATGGCATGGGGGAAAGCGGAAGGCTCCAACAAGCTAATTTTACAAACAAGCTAACTCTCTCTCTCCTCCATCCCCTCCATCAATATTGAGTGGAGGAAGGGATGGAAGAGGGAAAGAGAGTGATGGGGCATGTGGGGGAGATTTCGAATTTAATCCACGTAGGCGAGAGAGTGAAAGAGATCTTAAGGAAAGATGTATTAGATAGCTATTAGCCTGAAAATGTTGAGTGTGTTTAAAAAATATTAGAGTAAGCAAACTTTCACGACGATATTTAAGAAGTTCCTCAGATACTTATTCCTAGTTAGCTTTTTTCAGAACCAGATATCGAAAAAAGTGTAAGAATACCATTGCATTCCCAAAAATCATTTCCGAGTTATAAACTTTTATTTTGAGTAATTTTATTTAATAAATGCTTAAATCTAACATTTGGAATTGATTTCCTAATACTAGACTTAACTGCTGCATATCAGAGATAGGCCCCGCTGCAATTTAAATTAAGAATTTAAATATTAGTGCTCATTACTGCCAGTTCTGATAACTCTAAGTCTATGAATTCTTCGATGTCCCTCAAATCCTTTATGAGATTTTCCCATTTTTCTTAAATTTTTTATAAAAGGTTGATTTCTGACTTTAATTTTTATTTTCGGTGCTAAAAATGGATGAATTCTGGCTTCTAAGCAGCGTAAAATACAAAAATTTTCGCTTGCACCGCT